GTCGGGGCGACAGAGTGAGACTCCAACTCAAAAAAAAAAAAAAGATGAGGACTCTAACGGAAGTTCTTCCCTGAAAGGGAATAAATGGGATCTAGTGGTGTTTGCTGCTCATGAACTTTAATGGGAGGAGGAGACGCATGTTTACTGGGTGTGTTGTGTTCGGGGCTGTGTTCCAAATGCCTATGCACATTATCACATTGAACTTTCTCATGATTGTCACACTCCAGACCCATATATTCCACTCTTTACTGGATATTCTTGTTCAGCACTACACATCTAAAGCTGAACTAGATAATAATCATGGCTAACCTTCACCAAGTACTTACTATGTATGTAACTGACACTATGCGCTAACAGCTTTGGTGTTCCCTTTGACAGTGAATAGCATCCCCATCCAGCCACTACCCAACCCAGAAACCTTGGAGTCAACTTTGACTACTCCTTCCTCAACTCACACATGCCTGTCTATCCTAAATCCTGCCAATTTCACTTCCCACGTCTCTAGACTCTCCAGTTCTACTGCCACTACTCTGGTCCAAACCACCATCACCTACCAACTAGTCTGCCACAAAAGCCTCCTCACTGCTCATACTCCTTTCAGGACTGTTTCTCTATCATTCATTCTCCATAACCAGAATGATCCTTCTGAAACACAAACCTCATCATGACTTTTCTGTTTATAAGCCTTCAGAGCCTACATTAACCTTAGAATAAAGTCCAAAATCTGTGTCAAAACTTCCAAGGCCTTTGGTGATCTGGCCTATCTCTCCATCCTTCCTCTCCTCACAGCCTTACATTCTCCTCCCCAGCCAGACTGAACTATTTTCAGTTCTCCAAAGGCCCTGAGCTCACTCTTTAACCTCCAGGTCATTGCACATGCTATTCATTCTGCCCTGAACATTTTTTTTTCAGTGGGAGTCTCACTCTGTCACCGAGGCTGGAGGGCAGTGGCACGCTCCTGGCCACTGCAGCCTCGACCTGCTGGGCTCAGGTGATTCTTCCACCTCAGCCTTCCGAGTAGCTGGAACTACAGGCACGTGCCACCACGCCCGGCTAATTTTTGATTTGTTGTAGAGATGAGGTCTCGTCAATTTGCCCAGGCAGGTCTCGAACCCGTGGGCTCAGGCAATCCACTCACCTCGGCCTCCCAAAGTATTGGGATTACAGGCTGAGCCACTGAGCCCAGCCAAGAGATGCTTTTATTAGGGTTAAATTCAGAGTTGTTTTCTGTCAGAAAGCCTGGGTTTAAGTCTCCTCTAACTAACTGTGTGTTGCTCTGGGTCTCAGTTTCCCCATCTGTGAATGAGGGAGTTGGAGCAGATGATGTCTGAGAAAAATGGCTCAAGTTCCCCATCCTGTCTTGCTGGCTGTAGATTTGAGATTCGACTCTTCAAACCACCCTCTGTAATTTCTTCTAGTTCCTCATCTTCCAGAATACGTCACCAACTATCCATCTCCCATACCAGCCCTTCTACTAATTAAAAGAAATTAAAATCAGAGTATTTTTAACCTCCCAGCCCAACCCGACCCCCAAACCCACAGAGCCAAGAGGTACTCAGTCCTGATCTCTCCTCTCAGGTTTTATTGACTGATGGAAGAAACTACATCTTTGTCAGCCGCCAGCTCCACAGGGACAGCGCTGGGGACAGGGAACCTGAGATGATGCCAGATTTCAGCCTGAGAGCACAGTTCCGGAAGGTGACCCAAGAGGGAGAAGAGAGGAATATGTGAAGAGAAGTTGTGGGAGAGAAGGCAGAGATCAAGAAGTTCCTCCTGCCTTCTACAACTCCAAGAGTTTGAGAATAACCCAGCCTCAGCCTCTAAAACTTCTGGACTCCTGCCCAAGAACATGGAATCAGCCCATGATCTCCAAACACAGCCTAGTTCTTGCTGGCTGCCAGGTTCTTATCTCAGCCAGTACAGACTCAAGCCCAACCCAGGAAGGAAGCAAACCAGAAAGGAGAGTAGTTAGAGGTGGCCCCTCTGATTAGGGCAGATGTAAATGCTGCAGCAAACTGGTCAGAGGCTTTGCATAATGTCATGGCAGCAGCTGCTATTGCTAGAGTTTGCTGGGGGCCCAGCAAAGGACAGAGTTGTGGGGACCCATTTCCAGCATCCAGGGAAGGGGGTGGTGGAGTTTGTGCTATCTGTGTGTTGGGAGAGGCAGCCTGACCCCTCAGCCAAGGCTTAGGGGTAGTAGGTCACTGCTGAGGCCACAGCCCATGAAGCCTGATTGCATTCCAAGCTTCGGAATATGTTGGGCCAGGTGGAGACCTCTCCTAGAGGCCAGATCAGAGGTAAGAGTTCTCCTCTCTGAACCTCCAAACCTCCACAGCCCAGCCAGAAAGAAGAGGAAATCTCAACTCTCCTTCTCTGGCCAGAGTTCAGATGTCAGATGGGAGCTTTACCTACCTCTGAGGGCCCAAGGGGAGGGGCATGCAGGAGGCCAGCTGGGGAGTGGGGCCAGTCCCAGTGTGCTGGGGCAAGGAGGCCAGGGGCCTGTGGAAGCCCAGGAAAACTGTCTGGGCTGGGGGGAAGTTTCCCATTTCCTGGTTACTTCCCCAGCATGTGGGCCATTCCATGAAACTTCATTGCATAGTTCTCAGTGGTAGGCAAAAAGGGTCCCCAGGTCTGCCCCTCTCTGCCTCCCTGATATATGGCTTTGGAAAGGAGTCCCCAAAATGAAGAGAGCCCTCTGAATGGTCTGGCCCATCCCTCACAGGGAAGAGATCTTGACAGTCTCAGGGAGGAGGCAGGGGGTACCCAGGCTGGAATTCCTGAGGGTGCTGCTGGCTCTGCCACCACCGCCGCCGCCAGGGGAGGAAGGTTGGCTCTCATCTGGGCTGTTGGCAGGAGGGGTAGGGATGCTGATAATGGCAGCCACGAAGTCCCGGCTGTCGCAGTTCAGGTCAAGGCTGTCATGGGGCTTGGCATTGAGGCTTGAGCGGCTGTAAACAAGGGTGGGGAAGATGAAAGGCTCTTAAAAATTCATCTTGGGGTAACCCCTTCAGGTCCCCTCCCACTGTGGGAGCTTTTCTGTCCTCTCAATAAATTCTGCTTTCTCTAAATAAATGAATAAATAAATAAAATTAAATAAAATAATAGAGCCCCTTTAAAAAAAAGTCATCTTAATACCTGCCACAGCTAGATGGCATTTATTGAGCACCTACTGGGTCTCTGGCACTGTGCTAAGTATTTCCCCTGCATCTTCAATTATGGTGATAGTGAGTGAGGGCTCCAGAGTCAGGTAGTCCTGAGTTCAAATCCTAGTCCCACTTTAACCACTCTAGACCTCTCTCCTTTCATCTGCAGCATGGGAATAGCACTATTTCCTACCTCATCAGGTTGTTGGGATTAAATGAGAATATGAATGATACAAAGTACTCAGAGCAGTGCCTAGAACTTAATGAGCACACACACACAAATGGTATCTCTCATGGCTACTCCTACCAATGCCAAAGTCCTGACAAAAGTCTGCCGTAGGATCTGCACAATCAGGTCCTCATTCCTTTCTGACTTTACCTCCTACCACGTTCTCCCTTGCTCACTTCATGCCCCCCACAGTAGCTTCCTTGCTACTCTGTCTCTAACATGAAGACCTACATCTGCCTCCGGGGCGTCGCAGAGGCTGTTCACTCTGCCTAGAAAGCTCTTCCTCTAGGTATCTCCATGGCTTGCTCTCACCTCCTTCAGGTTTCAGCTCAGTTGTCACCTTCCCTCACCACACTGTTAGAACTGCATTATCCCCTGCTCTCCACTCCCTGGTTTCTTTTTCTCTTTGGTGCTTACACTGCTTGACACACTTCATAAGCTGTGTATTTGTTTATTTTTAGTTTTTAATTTTGTTTTGAGTAGGAGTCTCACTCTGTTGTACAGGCTGGAGTGCAGTGGCACGCTCATGGCCACTGCAGCCTCGACCTACTGGGCTCAGGTGATCCTTCCACTTTAGACTTCCAAATAGCTGCAACCACAGGTGTGCGCCACCATACCCAGCTAATTTTTTTATTTATTGTGGAGAGGTCTTGCCAAGTTGCCCAGGCTGGTCTTGAACCCCTGTGCTCAGGCAATCTTGCCTCCACCTCTCACGGTGCTGGGATTATAGGTGTGAGCCACTACACCCAGCTATGTATTAGTTTATTAACTGTATTATCCCATTGGAAAGTCCCAAAGGACAGGGACTTCTTGTTCTGTCCATTGGTACAACCAAAGTGCCTAAAACTGTGCCTGTCATACAGTAGGTGCTCAGTAAATATTTGGTGAAAGAATGAATGAAAGAATGAGGAGTTCCATACAAAATAAGCCCAAGCTCCCAGCATGAAGGAGTTTGAGTTTGAGCTTGACTTGATAGGCTTAGAGTTATGAATTCTGACTCACTGGTCCAAGCTCTGAGCAGATTCCCCAGGTGTAGCCAGCAGGTGGGAGGGGTGCTTACCTCTGAGGAGCAGGGCTCCTCTGAAGCCCTGCCAGCGTGTCCAACTCCTGCATACTGCCACGGCTGACTGAGGCAGTGGAGTTAGCAAGGCGGATGGCACGGCGCTTGGCCCTGCGGGGGCAGCAAGAAGATAGCAGGCTGCCAGGCCCCACTGGCTGGGAGGACACAGAAGTGCTACGGCTGGTGCGACCACCCAGCGAGACGGCTCCCAGGGCTTCGCTGAAGGTTAGCTCATCTGTGAACTCATGGCACTGTGAGCAGAAGGGAGGCAGGGTCACTGGACATCCCATGGGAGCTAATTCCACCCTCAGGCCTTTGCTCAGGCTGTTCCTTTCTGGAAGTTGCTCCCTCGTCCCTTTCCTTGCCCATCCTTCAAGGCTCAGCTCTGCTGTAGCCTCTTCCAGAAAACTCTATGTGATTTCCACAGTTGGTAGCGAGCCTCCTATCTGAGGCAGGGAGCTGGCTTAGCGGCAGAGGGACCCTCTCTATTCTGCCATGCCACCTCTCATTAGGCCTCACCGTTGTCTTTTCTAGACAATGCAGCAAGTGGTGATGCTGCTGCTCGAAAGCAGAACGGTTCCTGACACACAGCGCCTGTTCCTCTCCACTGCCACTGTCCTGGGTGAATGGAGCAGAGAAATAAGGACAGCATCATCCTCCCCCATCATCACTCACCCCTAGCCCCAAACCGGGCCCCTCCTCACCTCGAGGCCCCCATTCTGCTTGTACTGCAGGAAGGCGTTGGTGGTACCACTCTTTGCTAACCGGATCCTTGCCAAGCGCACCTTCTGCAGAAAGAAGAGATAAAGGGCCAGGCAGGTAAGCCCCAAAGTAAACTGGCTTGGAGTGTGGGAATAGGAGGGGTTCAGATGGGAGGTGCAGTTACCTGCTGTGCTCGGCGCTTGTCAGCCCGCTGGTTCTGGTGGTAGATGCGGCTGAAGTTGGACACAATGACTGGCACAGGCAGGGCAATGACCAAGACGCCACTGAGCGAGCAGATGGACCCGAAAATCTTGCCAGCAATGGTGCTAGGAACCATGTCTCCATAACTGTGGCAGGGGTAGGTAGGCCAAGCTTAGGAAAAGAGCCCACCCGCCTCTTAGTCCCCAACTCCATCCCATCTAACCCCAACTTGCTCTGCAACCCTGGCCAGGCACTAAAACTCTCTGAGCCTCAGTTTCTTGCTCTGAAAAATGTGGAGAGTGACCTCTCTGGCCACCGGTGGGGGTCAAATAAGAGCCTGGCCCTCAGCCCCTACCATCTGCTGCCCCCATCCGAACTGTGCACTGTGCATCTGAGTCAGCTGGAAATCTATTAATGCCAAGGAAAGGGGAGAATGAGGAAGTCATAGGCAGCAAACATAGCCTCCTGGGGACAGGGTCCCATCACCACGGGCCAGCCGAGGGCTCTAAGTCCTGATAGGAGTGTTCTGTGGGTTTTGCCTTTCTCTGTCTTACCCTCTCTAGGTAAGACCCCTTCTTATAGGGGAAACCTTGAAAACTGTCCACATATGACAAAATAAGGAGAGCCTTGAAACCACCCTGCCTTTCTCCATGCCACTCCCTGCCATGAAGATAGAGCAGAGTCAACCTTACTAAAGCATTTTACGGGGTGGGGGGGAAGCTCAGGAGGTTCCATAACTGACTTACCCAAGATCACACTGCATACTTTTGTTCTAACCACAGAACCAATCAGAACTCCTCGACAGAAACACAGCCTTTGCAGTCTTCAGCCTCTAGGCCTTTTCTCAGGCTGTTCCCTAGGATAGCTCTTCCTTTGTTGTGTATTTTGACTCATTTTAAACATTCAGAACTCTGCTCAAAAATCTTTCCAACTTGGCCATTTCTGGCTCTGTGATGTGTCATCTCAGACCATGTCCTCAACTGTGAAACATGGGCAGCCATCCACTCTCACAGGGTTGTTGTGAGGACTGAATAGAATAAAAGGCATCAAAATACTCATTTCCAACCCATTGTCAGGGCTTCATATTTGTCTATCTGTCCCATCCTGAGCCTCCAATCGCAATTAATTTATACTCCTTAGAAATCCCAAATCAATTTTTTCCTTTTGTTTTTGAGTCAGGGTTTCACTCTGTTGCCCAGGCCAGAGTGCAGTGGCACAATTATGACTCACTGCAGCCTCAACCTCCTGGGCTCAGGTGATCCTTCCACCTCAGCCTCCCGAGTAGCTGGGACTACAGGTATGTTCCACCATGCCCAGCTAATTGGTTTTTTTGTTTGTTTGTTTTTTGTTGTTGTTGAGGTGAGGTCTTGCTATGTTGCACAGGCTGGTCTTGAACTCCTGGGCTCAAGCAATCCTCCCACCTCGGCCTCCCAAAGTGCTGGGATTATAGGCATGAACCACTACTCCCAGTCCAAATTAATCTTTTTGTACTTCCATTAAGGTACCAAGCAAACCCAATTCACTCAGTCATTCCTTCAACAGATACTGAGCACCAACTGTATACCTAATCTGGTGATGGAAACTTAGAGAAGGATCACAGCATCTGACCTAGACAGTATCTTTAGGAATGTCATGTGTTGGGTGATTCCATTTGACACTTTTATTCCAACTCTGTTTCCCTTCAGGGATTGGCAATAAAAAATAAGCTGAAAATATCTTCTTCTGGGAAACATCGAGGAATCACAAAGCCACAGAGGTAGTGCCCCTCACAGCAGACAATTCTAGAAGGTTGGGAGACATGGGTCTTCAAAACGAAAAAAGGCATGATAGGAAGGGGTAATACTGCAACAGAAATATTCAGAGAACTTTCACACCTGTGATGTCATTGAATCCTCTCTAGATGATGAAGGGATCATCGTTTCCCATTTTACGTAGGGGAAAAATAAGGCCCTGAGAAAACAACCTAAAGAGAAAGAGAGCAGCTAAGATAATCCTTGGACCCGTGTCTCCTGGCCTAGAAAATCAAGACGTTGTCAGAGCTGGGAGGGATTTGAAGATTAAGTTCAACTCCCTCAGTTTTTACAGATGGGGAAACCAAAGCTCAAAACGAAAGCAACCATTTATCTAACCTTCCTAATTTTACAGAAAGGATGGGAAATTGACTGGGCAGCTCCCCAAACCGGGTCTGCACTCACCCAAGTGTGGTCATGGTGACAATGGTATACCAGAACGCTGCAGGGATGCTTGTAAAGTTAGTCTTACTGGTGCCCTTCTCAGCATAGAACATGACGGTGGCGAAGATGATGATGGCCATGGTGAGGGAAAAGAGGAGAAAGCCCAGCTCAGAGGCACAGCTCTTGAGTGTGTAGCCCAGAATCCTCAAGCCCTGTGAGTGCCTGGAGAACTTGAAGATGCGAAACACCCGGAACACACGCAGGGTGACAAAGGCGCCTGAGACATCCTCGTTCTTGGGCACCAAAAGCCCAATGTAGTAGGGCAGAATGGCCACCACGTCAATGAGGCTCATGACACTCCGCAGGAAGCGGCAACGGCTGGGGGCAGCAAATAGCCGCAAGAGGTATTCACCCGTGAATATGAGTACACAGGCCGTGTCCATGCAGAAAAAGGCCATTGGGAAGCGGTCGCCACAGGGCTGTTCCCTCGAGGGTCGTCGCGCAGAGCCGCGGCACGGGATGGTCTCCACTACGTTGGCGATGACCGACACGGCGATGAAAAAGCCGGTCACATAGTAGAAAACGAGGGCCGCGGTGCTTGTGTGTGGATTCTCGAAGGCCCGCCAGAGCCGCTGGCGCAGGGTGCTGCCCACGGGCAGGGCTGGGCCGTCCCCAGTCTGCTCGGCCTCTTCGTCCTCCGCTAGGCGCTCGGCGTTCTCCTTCTTGCGGTCCCGGTACTCTTCGAGGCAGCAGTCACCGACGAGCTCGGGGACCAGGCCATAGAAGGCCAGCTCTTCGTCGAAGGCCTGAATGCACTCCTGCCGCGGGCAGTGCAGCCGGCCCGTGCGGTAGAAGTTCAGCACGTGCCGGAACATGTCCGGGTCGCGATCGAAGAAGTACTCGCCTGAGTCTGCGTCGTAGAAGAACTCCTTCTCGGAGCTGCCCAGTAGGGTGTCTGGGTAGCGGTCCAGCGTGTTCTTCCAGGTCTCAAAGCGCCTTCCGCTCACGTTCACCACCAGAACCTCATCCCCTCGAGATGCCTTCACCCCCGGCGCCGGGGGAAGGGGCTGCTGGGCCAGGGGCAGCCAGCCCACCGCTGCCGCCCGGGCAAAAGGCAGCCACGTGGCCACGCCTGCCGCCATCCTGCCGCTCCCCAGGCCCACGGAGACTTGGGGGGGTGTGGCAGTTAGGAGAAAGTGGCTGTCTCCAGAATGGTAGGGGCTTGGAGAGGCCCTGAGCCACCCAGACAAGGAAACTTGGGGTGTCTAGAGAGGCCAAGAGGAACCAGGAAGAGGAACTAGAGAGATGGGCAGGAATGTGGGGAGCATTTACAGGGTCTAGGAGGGGCCTGGGCAATGTCTTGAAGAACTGAGAAGGGGCTAGGGGACGTGGAGAGGAGTAGAAAAGGGGCGTGGGGAGGGGCAAAGAAAGATCTGAGGGAGGATTTAGAGAGACTAAGATGATTCTAGAAGGGTTGGTTTGTGCCTGAGAGGTGTCTGGAGTTGGCTGTATGGGGGCGGGAAACTCATGGGTAGTTGTCCACACTCTCAAGAGTCTCGGGGAAAGAAGGGCCTGGAACACTTTAGTGGGGCTAGAGAGGTGATTGGGGCATCTAGAGGGGGTGGAAGTGGGAATAGATATGCTTGAAAGAGGCTGAGAGTGAGAAAGGCGAGGACAGTTATCCACACCCTCAAGACTTCTGGGGGAAGGATAAGGGGGTTGGAGCCCCCTCATGGATCTGGAAAGGGAGCTGGTGCATCTCAGGGGGTGACTGTAGAGACAGGAGGTTGTAAAGAGCCTGGAAGGTGTCTTGGGAGTGCCTAGAGCTGCCAAGAATAGCCTGGTGGGGGGTTGTCTACACTCTACAGGAGTTCTGGGGAAGGGAGGAGGGGCAAGGGCTCCCGGTGGGGCTGGAGAGGGGAGTGGGGTATCTAAAGGGGTAGATATGGGACTGGGTGATTCTTTTTAAGTGACTGAGAGTTATCTGGGGGAGGGGGTACCTAGAGGGGCTAAGAAAGCCTGGTCCACACTCTCAAGAGTTTTGGGGGAAGGTAAAAGGGGCCTGGGGAATCCCGAGGGGCAGGAACTCAGTTGGAAGGAAGTTGGGCACAGCCCCAAAGCACGAGGGACCTAAAAAGACTAAGAGGAAGGGGGTTCCCTCCAAAGTGGGTTGGAGGGGTGTTGAAAGGGAGTTGGGAGTGTCTCCAGGGAGGAGGGCTGCTGGGCCTTGCAGAAGGCTGGCAGGGGAGGCCAGGAGAAGGATGGGTCCCACTGTCGGGGGCAGGTCTGGGGAAACCACACCCCAAGGGGCTGGCGGTGTGTGCCGGGCAGCGGCAGTAGCAGCAGCGGCAGCAGGAGGAAGAGGAGAAGCGGCCACAACCAGGCGTAGGAGAGAAGGCAGCACAGGCAGGGGAGAGGGCTGGGTCCCTGGAAGGAGGCTTTAGAAGGGTCCAGTGAGTCCAGTGGGACCCCTGGGGACTGTCCCAGGATGGGCTAAGGCATGTGGGCTGAACCAGGGAAGGGCAAGGACAGCGTTATTGGTGGCCCCCTCCCCCTTCCCATAGGGCCGTCCTCACCTGTGTCCCCACTGCAGCAGCAGCAACAGCGGTGGGGCTGGGGGTACCAACCACCGGAGCTCCTGGCCCCCTCTGCAGAGCTGCCTGAGTTCTCCTCCTCCTCTGGCTCTCTCCCCGCCCCTCTGAGCTTGCCGGGAGATGGAGAGAGAGGTAGGGAGGGGCCTCGTGGCTCCCCGAGCCCCCTCCCCTAGGGCAGCCTGAGAGGGACCCTGGGGAGACTCCGCCTCCTACAAAGCTGGTTGGGCCTCAGTCGCGTCATCTGGAAAATGGGGGTGGCAGGGAACTTTGCCAATTCTCCCCACCTCCTTCCTGGACTCCCCCCTTTCTGCCCAGTTCCTACCCTCTCTGCCCCCAGGGGCCCCCACCCCCACCCGCCTGAATCAGCAGCACTTAGCAGATCCGATCGATGGGAAGGCGTCTGTTAATGGCCCCAGAGCGGAGTGCCACGGGGAATGATGCAGCGCTGTCCCCTCCCTGCCCCCCAGACTGTGGAAGGGCAGAAGTGGGGGTGGGAGGTAATAAATGGGGAGTGTATCTCTGGATGGCCAAGCCTCCAAAGCCACCCTGCAGGGCGTGCGCAGCATGGGTTAGAGCCCCGGCTCTAACCAAGACTTCTGCTGTGGGACTAGCGCACACATCTTCCTCTGTGTTTAGATATGAAATGAGGTGTATGGGGAGGGACAACCCAGGCCCCATTCCCCTACCAAGTTGTCTCCCAGGCAGGCCCCACTCAGAGAGCAGTCAGTGTCCCTCATCTGTCCACATCCAGTGGCCTCAGATCACACCTCCTCCCCTAGAGGGTTCTGCTCTGGGCAACAGGAGCACTGCGTATCAAGTGCCTCTGGCAGGCTATGGGTGGTTTCAAACCCCAGCTTTGCCACTGACTTGCTGTATCTTTGAGCAAGTGACTTGCATTGTTTCCTCAGTTGTCAGATGGAGAGTTATCCCAACTTGACAGTGTCATTTGGCGCATTAAATGATGTTAAGGTGGATGGCACAGGGCATGGCACACACAAAGGATGCCTAATCTTAAATAATTAAAGGTGTGTGGTGATGGGGAAGTAGTAACACAGGGCCAAGTCTAGCTTTTCTATCGATTTACCCACCTGTGTATCCTCAATTTGCCCAGTTATCACACTCTTGATTAGCCCATTTTTCCAGCCATCCCTTCACCCAACTAGCCACCCATTCTCCCACCTACAGAACCAATTATTCTATCCATCTTTCCACCCACCCATCTGTCCATTTAGTCATTAATCCACCCACCCACTCACTCATCCATTTGTAAGTTCACTCCATCCACCTAACCATTCACAAACCTATCCATACATATCCATCCTCCACCCATCAGTCCATCTCTAGCTCCACTCGTTATTTATTCACCCAGTTTTTTTTTATTTTTTTTTGTCGTTGTTTATTTGTTTTACAGACAGGGTCTTGCTGTTGCCCAGGCTGGAGGGCAGTGGCACAGTCATGTCTTATTACAGCCTCAAACTCCTGGGTTCAAGTAATCCTCCCACCTCAGCCTCCCAAGCAGCGGAGACTACAGGAATGTACCACCACGCCTGGCTAATTTTTTTTTTTTAGAGATGGGGGTCTCACTATGTTGCCCAGGCTGTTCTTGAACTGGCCTCAAGCAGTCCTCCTGCCTCAGCCTCCCAAAGCACTGGGATATCCACCCACTTTTTACCCTTCCCATACATCCATCTCATCCTTCTCATTCATCCATACATTCCCCCATCCATCTGTCCATTTACTCCCAACCTGTCCATAAATCCATGTCTACCTAATCCATCCACCTGTCCATTTGTCTATGTACCTATCTATCCATCTGTTCATTTATATCTCCACCTATCCATCCTCTACCAATCCACCCACCCATTTATTCATCCAACTACCTATATATCCATCTATTCACTTATCTCCCAACCTATCTATCATCAGTCCATGCAACCTTCCCCTTAGTCACCCATCAGTCCACCCGATCACCTATCCATCCTCCCCTCTATCTACTCATCCACACCCACAACCCCGTACACATCTACCCACAAACATATCTGCAGATATCTCTGCTCCAGTCAGTTTGAGGTGTTGGTCAGCAGTAAATGGAGACAGGCTGGGTGAAGCGGGGAAAGGAGAGTAAAGTTGCAGCCAGAGACCACTCTCCTCATGTCTTCCCCATTCCAATGGCGTAACCTCCCCAACCCCAGCACATCCCTCATGGTTGAAAAGAATGAGACCAGACAGTGAGTGGGTGGGCCCATCTGGCCAGATGGTATTTTGGCTGCACAGCCTTTACATACACATACACACACACACACACACACACACACACACACACACACACACACACGTTGCTAGAACGCTGAACATGGACCACACCCCCACCCAACATCCCCGATCCCAAATGCAGAGTAGCCAGGCTCCAGACATAAATTAAAAAATAAAATAAAATAAAAAAGAGTTGGTCTCTGGGAGGGAGAGCTCATGCAGAGAGGAAGGCAGAAGCCCTCGAGAGCCAGGGTCAAGAAGAAGAAATCCCTGCCCCTTTCCTCAGGATCCCCACTCCCCAGTGGCCTCTGCCTTAAGACAGGATCATTAACAGCAGCCATCAAGCCTCCAGCTCCTTTAATGTCCAGTCTCCCAACCTATTCGATTTTGGCTCTGGTCCTCATTTTCCCACCACAGCCCAAGGGATTGGCACCCTGGGGGGTGGGAAGGGGAGGGAGTGGGTGCAGCCTGCAGATCTTTAGCTTGTTTGTCCTGGCTCTAGGTCTGGGTCAGGAGACCCCACGCACTCCTTGCTGAGCCGCACAATTTCCTGGGACAGAACTTCCATGTCCTAAGAAACAAATGAGTCATCAGGGGCCAGAGAAGGGGGAGGCTGCTCCGTCACCAAACCCGGGGTGTCATCTGTGATTTCCTTCATACCCATTCATTAATCAATGGCCAGCTGTGTCTGGCCTGGGATGGGAAGATATTTGGAGAAGCTCACAGGGCCGCCAGCGATGGGCTGGGCAAGGAAAAGTTTTGAGGATGGGTCATGGGGCTGAGGCAGGAGCTAAGTCTGACTCCATTCTGACTCTTCCAGAGATGGGGGAAATATTTGGATGGCAGCTTGAGCAAATAGATGTGTGAGTGGATGCATGGGGAATCTATGGTAGGAAAACAGGTGGACGATGAATTGTCCAGAGGACAGATGGAAGACAACAGGTGGGCAGGCAGGTCACTGGGTGGGTGGGAGAAAGGTAAAACAAGGGGTGATTGATGAGCAGATAAGTACATCAGGAAATGAGTGGCAGGACGTTGGGGTAGATGATGAGATGGGTAAATAGTGGGGTGGGTAGAGGGACAGATGGGCAAATGGTTGGGCAAATGTGTGTATGAATGGATGAGCAGGTGAATGGAAGGACTGAACTGATCCTAAGTTGATCAGAGGCAGAAGATGAGAGCATGAAGGGGTGGTCTATGAAAGGGTAGGGAGATGGCTGGGAGGACAGGGGCTGGGTGGGTGGATGGCAGGACTGGCAGATGACCCTGGGGCTGTGTGGCTGGGCAGGTAAGTGGCTGGGACAGATGGGTAGGCTGGCAGACCATACTCGCCTTGTGCAAGTGCATATTCTTGGTGAGTTGCTCCTCCAGCATGTTCTGCAGCTTCTTGTTCATCTCCCGAAGATTCTCATCGCCTGGCTTCACTAGGTCTCTCAGGACGCTGCCCAGCCCGCTGCGGTCTGTGTGGCCTGCTGCCACAGACACATCTGCAAGGGCCCTGGCTGAGAACCACGCCCTCGGCAGAGCCAGAGGAAGGCAGAACAGAGCCAGAGGAGAAAAGAGGGGAACAAAAACCGGGGGAGAAGCCATGTTGTATAGGGGGTGGAGGTCTGAAACTTAGCTCTGTCACTTCCTAGCTCTGTGGCCCTGAGAAATGAGGATAATAACTAACTTGTGGAACTGAAAAATGCATATGACTGCATGTGAAGCACAGAGTACATGGGAAACCCTCAGCACACGTTGTTTGATATTATTCTGATTAATAAGGGAAAACTAAGGAATGAAGGTGAAGGTTTGAAAGAAAGGAGCAAAGGAAATAAGGATTGGGGAGGGGAAAGAAAAGAGGAGAGAATGAGGGAACAGAGGAGATAAGGACCCAAAAGGGGACACAGATATAGAGAATTAAAATTTACGGCCAGGTGTGGCAACTCCTGCCTATAACCCTAGCACTTTGGGAGGCCAAAGCAAGAGGATTGCCTGAGCCCATGGGTTGGAGACCAGCCTAGGCAACTTGGTGAGACCTCATCTCTACAATAAATCAAAAAATTAGCCAGGCGTGGTGGCGTGTGTCTGTAGTTCCAGCTACTTGGAAGGCTGAGGCAGAAGGATCGCCTGAGCCCAGCAGGTTGAGGCTGCAGTGGCCGTGAGCATGCCATTGCCCTCCAGCATGGGCGACAAAGAGTAAGACTCCAATTCAAAAAAAAAAAAAAAAAGAAAAGAAAAGAAAATTTATGGAGATAGAACAATAGCTGAAAGAGGGGGATGAAAAAAGAAAAACAGGGAGAAGAGTGAAGGGAGAGAGAAGAGGAGGATGAGGCACAGGGAAAAGAAAGGAGAAAGAGAAGGAGGGAGAGACACACTAGAGAGTAGAGAATGGAGAGATGACAGAGACACAGAAGAGAGAGGAGATGAGAGAAAGAGACAGAGCTTCCCTGTGCTCCCCTCCATGGGTTGTAGTCTTGTCAGTAGTTTCACAAAGTTCCATGAAAAGGAGAGAAACAACAGCAAGAACGACAGGGAGGGCCAGGTGAAGGCTAAACCAGGGCTGAGGCCCGGAGAAGGAGCACTGACCGATCCGGCTGTCCATGACGTAGGTCTCAATGATGGCGCTCTTCCGGCAGAGGTCCTCTGCCATGGAGGCGCTGCTCACCTCCAGGTGCTTCACCTGTAAGATGGCCCAGCCCACTTCAGATCCTTCAACTGCACATGTTAACACGAGGAGGGTCCCAGCCAGACTCTACCATCCCCAAGGCCACTTCAAGTGAGGACAAGCAGGCAGACAGCACCTTCTCCTCCAGCATCCATTTCTCCTGCTGTGTCTCTGCCAGCCGCTGAAAGAGCTCAGCCACTTCCTCATCTGACAGCTCTGCCGGCCGAGGGGGTTGGGCCTGAGGGCTGCTGGATAAGGACTGCAGGAAAGAGGAGGAAAGAGGCCAACCCCAAGCTCAGCACCACCCATCCCAGACAGGAGTCAGGGGTTGAGGAGGAAAACAAGGCCAGAGGTGGGTGGGAGAGCATGGGCTCTATAGCTGGGCTGTAGGCCTGTCTTGGGACTCTCAAAGACTCTGTACTCCCCTTTGCCTAAAACCTTCAGGACCTTCAGGAGATTAAGGGAGATCCCATAACAAATAAGATCTAACTTCCAGCTGACGAAAACTAGGGGAGAGATGAACAAGCTAAATGATACTACTAAGAAGCCAGCAGAAAAATCCAAAAGGTGAGATACTTCCTGCGGGTCAATTGGGCAGGTCTCTTCAACCTTGGTGTCAAGAAAAAAGGGAACACACTAGATTCAAGAGACTTAAGGGACATAAAACAACCAGATGCAACATGTGTTTTGAAACTGAATGCTGGTTTTCATAAAACCAGCAAGAAAAGACATTTTGGGGCTAACTAGAGAAATCTGATTAAGGTCAAAGTATTAGATGACATGAAAGTTTACCAAACTGGGATAGTAGAGAGATCAGCTGAACAAAAACTGGTTACTCATAAACTCATTTAGGTTTTTTTTTTTGAGTTGGAGTCTCACTCCGTTGCCCAGGCTAGAGTACAGTGGCAGGCTCACAGCCACCCCAGTGTTGACCTGCTGGGCTCCGGCTATCCTTCCACCTCAGCCTTCCAAGTAGCCGGACCTACAGGCATGTACTACCATGCCTGGCTAATTTTTT